AATAATAATAAAATATTTGTGCTTCTAAAGTACTTCCTGTGCTTCTGCCTTCACCCCACATTGTGGAGTGACAAACAAGAGGGAGGTATATGTAAACATTACTTTGAGTGGGATCTCTTTGTATTCTTATAAATAAATAATCATGTGGATTGACGTGTGAAAAGAGCATATGTATTTGACAGCTAAACTTGTAAGTCGGTTGTCATTGAGTTAGAATGATAGAGATATTAACGTTCGATTAACGATAATGATCGAAATATTTTATTATGTATTACAAGTAATTCTTGTATTCTTACATACACATTAATATTAATTATACTACACGATTATATGTATATATATATATATATATATATATATATATATATATATATATATATATATATATATATATATATAAATTAGAAGTATCTAAGAATAAAATGATTCAATGATTTAAAGAGTGTTTGCCGAGTAATTATTCAATGATAGATGTCTCTGGAATTATAGGAATTAAACAATTTAAAGAGTATCTAGGGTATAATTTATCAATTATTATATAAATAAGAAATTACTATATAAATTGCGTGACATAATTATATCGTTACAGTATCATCGTCTACGAGTACACTGACACTATACACAGGCAATTAAAACAAGAACATGCATTCCAGTGCTGACCAATCGTACGTTTTATAACAGATTGAATGTATAGTCTATTGCTGTCAGAGTATAATATTTGATATTTTCTCGTGCGTCATGCAAATTGTTGGTTTCTTATTTAAATTAAATTGGAAAAATATAATCAAATTTGTGAATTAATAAGAAATATTAACGATCGACTAAAGTCCCACCTGTGGTAGGATATATTAGTCATACGATAAGGAATAACTATAGTCATGGAAATGAAAGTGTTGACTTCTTACACTATGGACTTAAGTCGCGATGGCACGTGTCACGGTCGGTGACGAAGTCACTCATGCATCTCTACAAATTGTATCACTCGAGACTATGATATTCGACAGATCATACATACGAATTTCATGTTATTGCTAGACATAGAGTTAAATCAATTGATAATATTAAATTCTTGTTGTACCGATACATTGAAAATAACAGATTCCTGTTTTACTGACATACAGATTACAGTAAATCCCTGTTTCGTCAGAACGTCGCTAATAGTAGATTCCTGTTCCACCAATATATCAGTAATTGTAGATCTTTTATTTTACCGACTAACAATAACAGTAGATTTCTGTCTTACCGTTAGTCGATAACAGTAGAAAATTATTTATGAACATACATACTATTACTGGCTAGCATATTAAAATTCTCATTATTGAATATATTTTACAGATCAGGATCTCAATATTACCAAAATAAATAAAATTCTTTAAAAAAACAGATTTCACAGATATGAATAATGTCTAATTATAGAAGAAAACTACAGTACTAACTTTGGTAGGGTTACTAATTAGCTTTGTGATACTACGTACTTAAGAGATAAAATAGATTCTTCTTTTATCGCAAAGTTGATGGACGAAATTCTTGTTTCTTCGAAATTTTCTTTTACTGACTGTCGTTAAAGTGAATTTTTTCGGTTCTATGCGATATTAAAGCAGATCTCTGTAATTCATCAGCAGGGAAAGTACATTTTTCTTTTGCCATAAGTTGCTAAGGAAAAATCTTCCTCGCCAACTGTCGTTAAAACAGGAATCCACTTTACCATAATATATATATATATATTACTGTTTAGCATATTATACATTTCAATTCTGAATATATTTAGAGATTAATTAACAAATATAAACTTCTAATGAGAATAGTAGCTGGCTAATTTCATGAATGCAATTTCTATTCAAACTTCCGTCATTAATAAATCTAAAAATTCTATATTATCGACTTTTCGATGTTAACTAATTATCAACTGCTGCAGTAATAAATATCTTACCATTAGAAAACTTTCAACGATTTAATTATTAGCAGAATTTTAATAATTCTAATATATTACCCTCTAAAGGTACACATAATGGCTGATAATTATCTTTTGATGACATTTTCCAAATATAGATCTTCATTTTTTATTGTACAAATTATAATCAGATATAATCATAAGCTGTTGATTTTTGTGGTTACCTATAACATTTACAATTTATATTTATAAACATTATCATTATTACTTAGGAGAAGTTTTCATCTTTTACGGTATAATGTATACGTACATCAAAGAATTTTCTTTTAGAATGTGAAGTCATTTGAAAATATCACACATTTTATCTAATCAAATTAATTGATTTTGTACTGTTATTTCCCATTCAATGATTTAATTAGTAATAATTAATTAATTTGCTTTCAAACGGGAATTGTATTTTCTAAATATTCGTTGAACTTTCAACTTTCCAATTTGCATTTATACAGCACGTGAATGGGATTTACGTGTCACGAATGTAACTTTCCTGGTAATCGACCGACGGCGGGTGTAATAAAGCATTTAAAAAGCGAAACTCTGTGTGTATGGAATTTTGTGTATCCCAGTTCGAGAAATTACTTGTAAAAATGTTTTTAGAACGACTGCTAAAGTTAAAAGTGGACAATAATTAAAAACTAATATAAGGATTATAAAAATTTTTTTGCAAATGAATTTTATCTAAACGATAGATAAACGAAATTAAAATTAATAAATTTTCTTCAATTTGCTTTAAAGAAATTAACAAATGATTCTTATAACTGAAAACAATGAACCTTTCTAATAATCAAACTGACTTTAACGAATTCGATTACGAAGTTTCTTAGATGTACTATCATTAGAATTTTTTCACATTCAGGAACTTGAACGATACTCGAGTTAATAGCCTAGTACTTTCTTGAAGAACGCGATTAAACTTCTCGACTTGTTAAATACTTTCTTCGAGTTAGCCTCGTGACACGAATTAAAGCTAATTTCTTGAGAATTATACGAGATGCACGTTCGAACGTTTCACAATTTAACGAGCTTTATGTCTTTCTTTATCCATTAAGATCGTTAATCAACCCTAGTTTCATAATGGTTTATGCCAACAATGAATTCGTACGTAAATTCATGACCGATTTTGATGAATAAGGTTTCATTAAAAAAAAAAAAAAAAATAAAAATGAATAAAAAAAAAGTTTAAACGAAGAGATGACTTTCTTGAATTATTCCAAAAGTTTAATTCTCATTGAAAAAATCTTGTAAAATAATTGTATTTTTTTAAGAACGGATTATGTATAAAAATATAACTCTTTTAAAAATTCCAAAAAGTCTATAATTATTAAAACAATGAATAACGTGAACGATAAGCTAATATAATAATTTTTTAATAATTATATTGTCCGTAATATGGTTCGGTTAAATGTGACGATTTTCAAGAAGCACATCATTTGTTATTTAGTTAAAAATCCTAAGAATATAGCAATAAAACTATATATTATAATAAATTCTTCCTTATTTGATGATTAGTAGAGAGCATTTTACTAGAATAAACTTTACGTTATATAATTTCACATATTTATTTCTTTATCTGATAGTTGATTGGCGCGTTTAGGCGATATAATCTGTATTAGATAGGACACAGAGTCGGTATTATTTTGTTTTATAACAAATGTATAAAAAGAAATATATAAAATTGCGATTAAAAACAAAATTTTGTCGATTATTTTGTTCAAAAATAATAATTAGTGAATATATTATATATTATTTTTATAAAAATCAAAAGATTAATTCGTTTTCACATTATCTATATAAATTAGAACTTCCAACATTATGTCTTTTGCGGTTTCTTCTTTAGGATTATTTCATACTTTATATTATTACTATTACTACTATTACTATTGTAATTATTACTATAATAATAATAATAATAATAATAATAATAATAATAATAATAATAATAATAATAATAATAATAATAATAATAATAATAATAATAATAATAATATAATAATAATAAAATATAATGATAAGAAGAAGAGATAGAGACGAGGAAATAAATGTATTATTATTAATATTTTTATAAAAATTATTAAATATTTATATAAAATTAATATTTAATATATAAATATTCAATAATTATTATTTCTTTTAGAAAATATTTATACGACAAAATTATTTTTTTACGTTAAATAATCACTGTGAGAGGCACGTTACCATCAAAGAAAGGAGATATTAATATCAGAGATTGAAAAGTAATTAGTTTATAGGCTATTAAATACTAATATCTACTCTAATCCATATTAATTCGATTGTTATGTTACGCATAGGAAAATGGTATAATCTATACAAAAGTTATATAAACTGATATGATAGGGCGATAGGTGCATGGCGGAGACAATATTTCCCCTCATGCGCTTTTAGTACATATTTTGTCCGTAATTGTCGCTACTGAAGTCACACGATGCTTCGAACGAAAGATGATGAACGGAACAACAGACTTAAGTCGAATCTATATCGTTCTTTGATATTAAAGAAAAGATAAAAAAGAACGAGCGTTGTACGTTAAATCGCGATGGTCATTTTGTAGGTCGATCGATGTAAGAACCATTTTCGCGTACACGTACGACGCAACATTAGAGAATAGTCCGCGAGTCATATAATACTATTTCTATTCTGTCGATCAAGAGGGGGGGGGGAGGGGAATTGAAATGGCTTTACGTAATACAGGCTGTTTCAAAATTAATCCTATTTATTTGTAATGATACAAAAATTTATTAATTCGACACGCATCCGAAGCATATACAATTCAATTATAAGAGTATCCATCTTATAAATTTATTTTGAAAATTTTTTAACGTTTAATTTTTAATGTTCACTTTCAACCGACAAATTATGTAACAAAAGAAGCAATGACCAAAAAAGAAGGAACAAAAACTTGTTAGATACACCCCGTATAATCGAATGAGTCTGGTCGACTTAAAAAAAAAAAAGAAAAAAAAAAAGAAAAAATGTTCTCGTAATCGTACATATACATATATCTATCGACGATCAAAGTAATTTTAATTGTAACATGAAGAAATCGAATTATCATTTATGCGTGAAGATAATAGAGGCGAGACATTTGCAACAATTGGCTAATTCAATGGTAATAGTCAAATTGGGTAAGAAAAAGAAAAAAACTAATGTACAGGAAGGTACGGATTGTCCAATTTATAACGAGGTAAGGATTAATGAGATATATCATTTAATGAAATAATCCATATCGTGATATAATAAATATCCATAGTATTTTGTTTTCGATTTTATCGGGGACTTTGAAACATTCCTTTCTACGAGGATCACAATAGCCGTATACTTGAGAAACTATTTACGACAATTAAAGTTCTATGGAAGTACTATACTAGATGTCGAGGCAGTATGGGAACAACCAGGTATAAAGAATTATTACGTTTAATTAATATATTTCATTGTTTATTACATTTCAATTTTTCAAACAACATAAAGAAAAATAATTGTAAAATAACCTTCTAATGATATTTTGAAAAGCTTAACCCAACTTATATCGATTCAATAAGATCGAAAGTAATAAATAATGATGTTAGAGAATTGATTCAATATTCGATCGAAAGGAAAATGGATAAGACTTTTAACGCGTCCTTTTTAATAGATCATCAGTATCACCACAAATGGGCGATGCTCACCGATCCGAAAAGTTTATCGAGCGAAGCCAAAGGATACGTCAAGTGTAACATATCTGTAAAAGCAAGAGGTGAGAAAGTTCGAGTTTATCCGGAAACGGAGGGTGAGGATGATATAGAGAGGTAAGGAGATTAAATAATAATCAAAGTGTAATATATTATATAAATTTGAATCTGTGTTTTGAAGGGTCATAAAATAAAATAAAATAAAAAAAGAAAAGAAAAGAAAAGAAAAGAAAAGAAAAGAAAAGAAAAAAAAATAAATAAATAAAAGATCTTACAAAACGATGATCATGAAGAAAAGTCGTAGAACTTTTTGTCAAACATTTTGAAGGAATATATAAGAGGCTCGTTGTTTTTTGTATCTCTTTTTTTTTTTTTTGTTTTCGATCAAATTATACCTTCGACGTTTGATTATTGATTTTGATTTCAGCAATTTATTACTTCCTATTGGCGGCGAATCATTGCTTTTCACTCAACGAGCTCAATACATTTTTACCGTGTATCGTGCCGATGGTTTACCGAATATGACGAGTCTTTGTAGTTTCGGTGATACAGGAGGTATAAATCCTTACTTACAGATATCGTTTGCTGGAATGAAGGTATATATATATATATGTATATATTACATCGTCAAATAAATGTTTACAATCATCTTACACGATTCTTGAATAAATACGATTATTATTATTAAGGGTACCACGAGAATTTTATGGCGAACGTGTACACCAAGGTTCAATGAGAGGATAATATTCAAAGAAATCTTTCCTTCCTTCTGTCGTCGAATTAAAATAACGATAAAACATCGAATCGATGGTTGTCGTACACGTACTATAGCAGCACGTTCCATTCATATTCGTCTAATTTCGAATTACGGAAAGTATGGTAAAAATTAAAAAAAAAAAAAAAAAAAAAAAAAAGAAAAAAAAAAAAATTATTTAAATCTTTTATTGATAGAATACTTTTCCTTTAAGTACTTCTTTTCTTTTTCTTTTTTCTTTTTTTTTTTTTTTAAGACAGCGTACTTTTCCAAAAGGTACCTGTTTTGTTAATTATAAATGAAATAGAAAATCGATGAAAGTGAATTTTCATCCGACAGGATTTTTGCCAACATACGGACCATCTTTTCTTCATTTCTATGGTTCAAATAGAGAGGAAAGGAACATCTGTTCGTTGTCGTCCCTTCCCTTTTATCGAGGAAGAGTGCTCTTATCTCTAAAAACCGAAATGGATGACCCCGAAACCTCATCCAAAATTGGCATTGAAACAGAACCGGCAGCTCCCATTATCGAAGTCGGTTAAAATTTTTCTTTCTCCTTCTCTCTTCTCTTTTTTCCTATTCTTTTTCTTTTTTCTTTTGTCTTCCTTTTCATTCTCTTTTTCGATTGTTTCAATACGATTGTTTTCATATTTTAATTTTTCTTTTCTTCTTATCAATAATTAATAATAATTATTTAATAAATTATAGACTATCGATCGATCTTTTCATTTTCAATATACGTGTTAGAAAACTTTCGAGAATATTGCAAAATTTGTTATAATAAAAAGTTTTTGAATCGTTTGGTCGATAAGGAAACTTTCGATATAATCGACAATTGGTCACGGTTGACATTCGATAAAAGTTAAATTAAAATTTCTTTGAACTAGTACATCTAAGGTACTTATTTAAAATAGAAACACCAATGAAAAGTTTATTATTAACTTTGTTGATAATTAAATTATATATTTTATAAGAAGGTCAGATCAACGGAAAGTTCTTAGAAAGTTAAATATAATGAAATATTAATGTCGATACCTTGGTTCGTTTAGAAATGACATAAAAGTTTCAACTTAGTGAAATTATTTTACATTCTCTTAGAAAAATTTATGGAAAGTCGAAGAATACATATTGTTTGGTATAGTCTACGACGTATGCATGATCGATCGACGTCGATTCGGAAAAAAATCAATAGTCTTTGAATTGAGTATTGGTAATGCCGGAAATCGTAGATTTTCACGTGATCAATGTGATCTAGAAAATGACAACGAGAACAACGCTAAAGACGAAGACGACAATGACTACACTCAAGGTTAGTTTAATCGTCATTCGAGAAGCTTACAATTCCATAAAGACATAAAAATGTGATTTTCTTGTAATATAATAGAACAGAGAACGGGCCTCATACCAAGGAAACGTAAAGATTTTCAAAGTCAAACTGTACGAAGAACAACAGGAACTTTTGACGGGAAATACAATTACTTGCCACTGGGATCTAAAAAGCCTTGCATCTATGTCAGATCTTGGTGGCCCAACTTCGAGCGTAGAATGTTCAACATTAACAATCTTCGTTTCATCGTTAATTTCCTCGTGAGTCATTATTTTTTTTTCTTTTTTTTTAATAAATTTAATAATGATAAAAATAAATAATAAAGATCTGGTTATAATCTTTTTTCTTTTATTTATTTATTTTTTTTTTTTTTTTTTTTCATAATATCACAACAAATTCGAAATAGGTTTTCCTTGAACGTTTCGTCGAGTTCATTGAAATAACTCGTTCCGATATATATATATATATATTTTTTTTTCTTTTTTTTTTTCTTTTGCAATGTTTACGAATATTCACTTTCGAAAGGATAAATCGATTAACTCTCGAATGATCGAAAAAATCGGCCGATCTAAAAGTCAACGACGTTATTAAGATTCAATGAGTTGTTCTAATTCAATTTCAGGAGATGAAACTCAAAGAAGTCGGAACTTTAACTGCCATGAAAAATCCTAAAGCATATGAGATATACAATAAAGCTATTCGAACATTTAAGTACCATTGCCAGCATTATTTGCATACATTGGACGATGATCGATATTACGAGGAGATTAATGGTATGATCAAATTGGATCGACATCGAGCGAATCTATGCAGTAAGCAAATCGACGATATTCTCCGGAGAATCAAAATAGACGGTGAAATTCCTAACAACCATTACATCGAAATAGCCATGATGCACGCTTATCAATATTTGCGAGAATTACGGGGACTTTGCGAGGACGTAAGTAATTTATCATAATAAATATACTGACAATGATAAATAGAAGAAAAAAACAAAAAAAAAAAAAAGAAAAAAACAAAAAAAAGAAAAATAAATAAAAAAAGAAGAATAAAAATATGGTAAAAAAAAAAAATGGAAAAAATCAAAAAGAGAAATAAATTCACTGCGGGCAGGGGTGTGGTGGTGGTGGTGGTGGTGGTGGTGGGGGAGGGGGATATTCAGATTTTATAACTATTAAGAAAGTTATAATTACGTATAAGTTTTGACTGAAGTAGAACGATATCCGGAGACGATATAATCATCTCGAAAGATTAAATCGATAGTGAGAAATATAATTCGCTTCGAGAAGAGGTCGGTGAACTCAACGAGATGTAGAAATAGGTAGAGTAGAGCGACGGACGGGAAATTAGGCGACGAACTCGCTCGATTCGATTAGAACGAACGAGAGACGGTCAATGGTCTCTCTCTTTCGCCTTTTTGATATTTTCGTAGCCTGGACTAGCTCGAATCTCGTTTGGCCTCTGTCTCTCTCTCTCTCTCTCTCTCTCTCTCTCTCTCTCTCTCTCTCTCTCTCTTTCTGTTTCTGTCTTCCCCCTCTCTCTCTCTCTCTCTCTCTCTCTCTCTCTATCGAGATTAATCGAATTTCGTGCGGTTTGTCCGAGAGAATTCATCCGTCTCTTCTCTTCTATCTCTATTCTCTACTATGATTTATACATTTATTTGATTTAATTCTTTTTCTCTTTTTTCTTTCTTTTTTTTTTTTTTTGTTTACCCTTTAAACTATCCTATCGGTTTTCATAAAACTAAAAATTCTAATTTCTTTTTTCGTTTCATGGATTATTTTACATGGACACAGCCGCAAGATGGTCTTCCACGTGTTTTCCTTTGGATGCTGGCAGGTTCGAAACGCGTTGCTTACGTCGAATTACCAGCCGAACGGATTATTTACTCTGAGGAGAGCCCAGAAAGAGGCGTGGAATGTGGACAATGTATTAACGTCTTCCCGAAGAATCCTAAGAATGATATGGAGTCAGAAGAAACGATCGATCTTTGTGCTTGCAAAATTGAACTCTTTATCTGGCTTGGTAACGCTAAGTTCATAGCCTCCTGTTGGAGCTCGATACCTCCAGGCTATATAATCTCGGACCGTGGGGAACCCATCGACGTCTTTCCAAAGTATTTTGAATATGATCGATCCTCGGTAAATATACTCTCCAACATTTAATCCTCTTTCTCTTCTTTTTTTTTTTTTTTTCTTTTTTTCTTTTTTTCTTTTGTCTTATTGTTAGTCAATTAACGAGTTAAGTGTATTTACTAAGTTATATATAAACAAAGTATTACCTAACGAAGTATTATATTTCAATATTAATTGAAATTGAATCATTAATTGGAAAATGGAATTTTTTAATGAATGGATAGAGAGAGAGAGAGAGAGAGAGAGAGAGAGAGAGAGAGAGAGAGAAATTAATATATATCATATAAATTATATAAGAATAAGAAAAAAGTAATGTCCCTTTAAAAAAAAATATATATATTTATATATATATATATATATATAATTTTTTTAATTTTAATTTTTTAATATAAAACGAAATTATTCATTAACAAATTCTAATGTTCTTTATAAATGTCATCGATAATAATTATATAGAAATTATTTCATTTGATGTATATGATTATATCTTTTATTTGGTCAATTGACTTGCAAATTTACATTTAAAACATTAATTTCTTGATGGCTATTAAAAAATTCAAAACATTATCAATCCCAATATTTTCCAAATTAATTATTAAACGTATAAATGCTTGATTAATATCATTAAATTTTCTTCCATGTATTATTGTAATTGTAATAGCATACATAAATCATATAATTTTATATGAATGAAAATACGTGGATTAAGTATGTAATATAATATATATTGTAAACATCGATAATGCGGTATACGAATATTAATAACTGCAATAACACAACGAGGCTATTAGAAAATGCAACGAATCGTCTGCATTGCAGTCCTTTCAACTACGGGCACATATTTTTCAAGGACAATTCGACCCTGGTATGGATGCATCCGCATTGTTAGATCCGTTCGTAAATGTTACGTTTCTTGGGCACACTTTGACGACAAGTGTGAGTGAATGATAACTTTAAGTACATTGAAATTTAACATTGACATAATGCACAACGAATAAAATTAAAAATGAAACGAAAAGAAATCTTTTTATATCGATTCATTTTTAAATAATTACGAAAACAGGTCATACGTCAAAGTTTGGATCCGTTATGGGACGAAAGTTTGATATTTCCGATAGTTAAAATTCATGGGACTAAAGAATACATTAAAATTATGCCACCGAGAATAGTTCTACAGATCTTCGATCGGGACATCTGTGTGAGTTTCGAAAGTTAAACGATTTAAGTATGCATTAGAAAGTAGGAAAGACTGTTTGTGAACTTATTTATCGGACTAGCAGATACTTCGTTTTGAAGCTCCGTTCGATTTAAAGTAAAGACAGATGGATTTCTCTATTCGTTTCAAATTCCCTTTCGAATTTTTCTCTCACAAACCACAGGGTATGAAAGAGTTTTGCGGAAGGTGCATTGCCGTTCCATTAGTTAAACTCTCCACAGAAACTTACTCACCACCAGATTTCCTGCCGAAACTCGAATGGTACAGATTTCAATCGAGGAAGGATTATACCGGTTCCATTTTGGCTGCTTTCGAACTTGTCGAGGTAAACGAAGGAGAAGTTCTACCTAACAATAAGTTATATTATTATTCACATATACTTATATCTCACAAAGACAAATATAATAAGATATATATATATATATATATATATATATATAAATATATGTGTCTGTGTGTATAATCTATGATATTTAGATGGAAGAAACGGATATGATTGATGTACGTTTGAAAGAAGAAAAATGCAACATACCACCGTATATTAGACCAAAAATGGCGAGTTACAGGATGGAGGTGATTTTTTGGGGAGTACGAGATATAAAAAATCTTCATTACGTACCTGTGTATAGACCAAGAATAGTAATTGAATGTGCCGGTGTGGTTATAAAGTCACAGGTCATGGAAAATGCTAAAGAATTTAATAATTTTGAGGATCCTCGTGTCATGGTGAATTTGGTAATAAATTTCTTTTTTTATAATATAATTTTCGTAATACCATCAACACATTCGTTACGTCTCTATAAAGAAAAAAATATCATCGCTAGAAGCGCTTTATATATATATATATATATAGACTTTTTTTCTTTTATTGAATTGATACAATCGATGATACCAAACGATGTATCATGTCATAGAATCCGTCAATTGGTGTCGGCAACGAATGTGTTAAATGAAAAAAACTAAAAAGAAAAAAAAAAAGATATATATATATATATATATATATATATATATATATATATATAAAACAATACTATCGTCATAACTTATAGAAAATGCAGAACATGATGAATAATTTTGTTCTGAGCTCGCATGTCATCCAGTCCGTCAAACGATGATCGATATTGGCCTCTCACGTCGCATACCTCGTTAACGAGTATTGCCGTCAAAAAAATACTACATGAAAAATATTTTCAACGTATATAATAGATGCAAAGAGTGACCTACGAAAAATGTCATTGGGGAAAAATAATAGATACATGATACTTTGCTTATCGGGAAAATTTAACGAGCAGTTTTGTTCCATCTCGTTAAAAAAATCTCGAACAGCTGACGGAATACATATATATATATACATAAGTGTGTGTGTGTATTTGTTTGTTTGTGTGTATATATATATATATATATATTATATATCGATGAAATGGTATCAAAAGTAGGCCAATAAAGTCGATGATCATATATATCTATATATATATATATATATATATATATATATATATATATATATATATATATATATATATATATATCAATTGGAAAGTTCATTAATTTTTTTTTCACCTAAGCGTCGAAATTTCATTTGATAATGTTTCAAGGAGATGCCAGAACTCAAGGAGTATTATCCGTGCATGACTATACGAGTATACGACTCACGTGGATTTGGATGCTTCAAATACGTTGGTATCAGTAATATTCCCACAGTCTATGTGTTTCTGGAACAATTAATAACTGAAGAAGATTATAGAGCACAAATATACGAAACGAAATCAGAACGAAGATTTCCTTGGAAAGCTATTACCGTTAAACAGCTACCGTGTAAGAGAGAAAGAGAAATAGAGAGAGAGAGAGAGAGAGAGAGGAGAGAGAGAACGTCGCAACGGATAATCTAAATCGTTCAGGGGATAGAAATTCTAACAGAGTAAAGCCTTTGATCGCTTGCCAAGCTACCGTCTGGCTGCCATAGCAGAACCATGATTTTACGATGTTAACGTTCGAGAGCTATGTACGTACGTATGTACGTACGTACGTACGAGTAACAACGCTTCGAATCGTTCTCAGGAAAAAAGAGAGAGAGAGAGAGAGAGAGAGAGAGAGAGAGAGAGAGAGAGAGAGAGAGAGAGAGAGAGAGAGAGAGAGAGAGAGAGAGAGAGAGAGAGAGAGAGAGAGAGAGAGAGTAATAGAGAAAGAGAGAAAAAACCACACATATAAAAGACGCGACCCTCCGCGAAAATTTTCGTAGGATTTTCCATGAAAACGATTTTCGCTGAATCCTCAAATCACCGTACGAGAAACGATAAGAGATAAGAAAAGAAATTTTCTTTTTCTTCTTTTATTCTCGTAGAAACGATCGAGTTAACGTATTTTCAAACGATTTGAAGAAATAAAAAGGAATGAAGGAAGATATATATATATATATATATATATATATATATATATTTATATATAAAATAAATATGATTTTGATGAAAATAAAAAAAGGAATATAAATAAATCTATGTTAGAATTTTTATCCCATCTTTTCAATGTACATTATTTAATTCCAACTATAATTCATATTGTTTCAATGATAACTCATATTCATTCGTAGATGTCTTATCTGATGATTCTATTCGAGAAGAACGTAAAGGTTTGATCGAATATAAAAAAACATCGAAGAATGGATTTCGTCGAAAAATTTTTTATCTCTTCGAACACGTGAAAAAGTTATTGAAATGGAAGAAGTTAATCAAAAAGAAAAAAACGAAAAAGTATGATACGATGATAATGGACGACAGTCTTGATTGGTGGAGCAAATATTTCGCTTCCATCGAGGTACGTATTATATCTCACTTTCTTTCTTCGAAAAATTATTTTTAATTATTTTATGCCTAATAACTAAACATTACTTTATATTTTAGATTTAACATTAATATAATTATCTTATTAACTATTCTAATATTTTATCAAAATTTTAAATAAAAGTTATCTGTTTCGCTTTTTTTTTTTGTAACAAACGCATATGCATAATAACCAATAAGTAATGTTGAAATTTTCAATATAAAAAAAAAAAAAAAAAAAAAAAAAAAAAAAAAAAAAAATACTATACGGTATTATTTAGTTGTACGATGTCAAAAATTGTTTTCAATATCTACAAATAGTGTCTGTTATTCATTTAAAATATCCAAAACATTTTCAATAAAACATAAATGTATATATAAAGAAATAAAAACAATTAATTTTTAATTTTCGAAAAGGATTTTTCCATAATAATCCAAAAAAATATTTTAGGAAGAACGAAGAAAAATACATGTCACTATTTCACCTTCTTCTTCCACCTCCACCTCTTTTTCCGATTCTTCGAATACTGCAAAAAAAGTATCCGTAGCAACGTTCAAGGTACGCTTCCTTAATGATCTATACAAAACTTTTGCTTCGACTAAACTGATAACAGATATATTCCGAGGAATTGGAAATGCAAGAGGAGTTCGGAGGATTTCAAGATCGGCTAACTACTTTCAAATTATGGAAAGGAAGAAAAACAGAAAATTTCAACGAAGATGCTGAAGGTTTCATGGGAAAATTCAAAGTTAGCATTTGTTAATAATTAATTTTATATAATTATATCTTTCGCTTGGAGAAAAAAGAAAAAGAAAAAGTAAAATGAAAGAAAGAATTATCATAAATTTTTATTACAATTAATACGAACAATTGACGATATTCAAATTTGATTGAAAAAAACAATTTTTACCGATATATCATCAATCATTAATAATCTTTCAATCGAAATAATACAAATTTTCACAACAGATCGATTATCGTTTAATTAATCAACGAATAATAGACTACGTTAAGATGGATTATTAAAATACATATTTCCAAAAGTTTTTATATTCGCAAAAGTAAAACGAGTGATAAATTAAGGGAGACCAGTCGCCGAACGATTTATCTCCGTGAATAAAACCGGCATCCTTTCACCTACGAAAAGGATCGATTTTTTAACATTCGAAAAGTAATTTTTCATTACACAGGGACATATTTCTATATATCGTTGGCCTCATCCAGAAAATTTATCATGCAAAACGAGACACGGTAGGGATGCTGTTAATGGCATCTGTGACGATTACCCACCTCAGCAATCAGTTAAACTTCTCGTCAGACTTTACGTGATAAAAGGTGATCAAAAGATAGCAAAAAAAAAAAAAAAAAAAAAAAAAACAATTAAAAAAAAAAATAATAAAAAAATTATTACAAAAAGATCTTTTCCTTTTCATTTTATCCAGGCATCAATTTACACCCGAAGGATATTTTAAGCGGTAAGTCCGATCCTTATCTATGTATAAGCCTAGGAAAAATCTATATCAACGACAAGAAGAATCATATACCTAATCAACTTAATCCTATTTTCGGAAGGTAAGAGAACAAATACCATTGAGTCTTGTGAATTTTGACGTGTAATCTGTATGATTAAATTTTTACTTGACTTTATTAAAAAAAAAAAAAAAAAAAAAAAAAAAAATCATATATCCTTCTTATCCAATTTAATTTTTATTGCTTACGAATTTAATACGAAAAGATTCAAAAAAAAAAAAAAAGAAATATATAAGCATAGAAAAACAAAAGTAAAAAATGTAAATTTAATAGCCTTCTGCTTCTTCGATGTTCCGTCGGACGTTACCAAGCACAAATATTTTTTTGGAAAACGAACGAGCAGGATATACATGTATTTTTCTTTTTTTTTTTTTTCTTTTATTTTTCCTTCAATGTTTCCTATGGTATCAGGACTCGCTTGAATAATTTCAGAGTTTTCGAGTTGGAAGCAACCTTCCCTCAGGATTACCTCCTCTCCATTCAAGTCTGGGATCACGATGCGACTAGTACCGACGATTTGATCGGTGAAACTCAAATCGATATCGAAAATAGATTCTATAGTAGACATCGCGCTAAGTGCGGCTTGGCGAAAACTTACGAAACATCTGGCTATAACATTTGGAGAGATCGCGAGAAACCAACACAAATACTCGATTTTCTTTGCATGAAGAACAATTTATCGACACCTATATACGATCGTGAAGAAGTTCGTATTGGAAAACATAGATTTCCTTTTCGTATGATCGTCGACAATGATACAGGTATGCATGCAACTGTAACAAAAAAAAAAAAAAAAAAAAAAAGAAAAAAAAAAAAAGAAAGGATTAAATTAATGAACATTATAATTCCATTTTTTATCGTATCCAACAAAAAATAAAAAGAAGACCCAACAAAGAATAAAAAGAAATTATATATACATACACATAAATATAAATATATATATATATATAATATATAAAATAATAAATATATATAAAAATAAATATATATATATATTTATTTGTACAGAAAATTCGTGCTGTATGTGATACGCAAGATAGAGATGAATCATTGAATTACAAAAAAAAAAAAAAAGAACATTTACATTATTGCTTATAATGTAATAAAACTAAACTGAATTTTTTTTTTTTTTTTTTTTTTTTTATTTACATGTTATAACAATTCAACACTATGAAATTTATAGGAATTTGTTAGTTAACAAATTCGAGATTAACTTTGTTAATTTTAACCAAAAAATAAATAAATAAATAAAAAAGAAAAATAAATCAAAAATAAAAAATAATAAAAAAATAAAAAAAAAAAAAAAGGAAAAGAAACATGGAATTTTTTCTTATTTAAATAATATAGACAGTATTATGTCGTGTGTGATTTAAATCTTTGAAATGATTAAAATTAATAGCATCACGATCAAGTTAAATCCATTGATCAATCTCAACATTATCAATGACATATGATCTCTTATATTTTACCTTTATTCAGACAGAGAAGAATGCATGGCTTTAAACGTGCTTCATCAATGGCAAGATTTTCCTATTTGCGGATGCGCCCTGGTACCGGAGCACATCGAAAGACGTCCACTTTTCAATGCTACAAAACCCGGCCTCGAACAGGTTTTATTAACCACCTCTTCCACATCATTTCCTATATATTTTTTTTTTTTTTTTATTATTATCATTTATCCCATGGGAAAAAGTGAGACAAGGAAATAAGATAATAAGAAAGGAAGGAAGGATATAAGGAAGGAAGGAGAGAGAGTCTGTTAGGTCGTTCTTTGTTCGATTTTAATTATATTACCGTTTGAATATTAAGCGGGCGCTCGCGCGTATTCCTTTTTTTTTTTCCCTCGTGCAAATTTCTCTTCATATTTCTATCGTAAAATAATATTGCAGTGAAAAAAGGAAAAAAAAAAAAGAAAAAAAAGAATAGAACGCTTTAATTAACGATCATATTACGACGAGGCACAAAAATATTGCA